CAATCTTCCCACCATTAGCTTCAAATTTGATATAACATTTGTATATATTACCTATATAATCAGATCTTCTAACGCAGCTTTATACTGATGCAGCACCTCACCGACATCAGAGTCCCAACATAATTTCAAAAAGGAAATTTTGGTACTATTTTGTTGTTTTCTTGAAAGGTAGGATTTTTATGCTTCCTTAGCGATAAAGAAAGAATAAAAAAGCGATGAACAACGAAGTTGAACTGCGCACTTCGTAATGCCAAATTGATCATCGCAGCTCACCTTTATAGAGTTGTCGACAGGAGCAACTAAAAAGCCGTTCGTACCTGGAACCCTTGTGTCCCAACTGCAATTTAATTATTGTTAGATGGTTTTTTTTCCTTACTCTCACTTATTATATGCAGGTAGCGCAAACTGACAAAAAAAAGTGCTTAATAGCAACTGCAATGCAAAGCTGGAAATTTTGAAATATACACTATTGTCATAGAGATAGTCTTCTTTATCGTATTTTTTCGGATGATGTACCGTCATAGAGCGAACATCTTAAATTTTTAAAGGTTTTTCCCGCAAGCTTTTGTTACACTTTTGTATTTGATTTTTGGTATTATTTCTCTGATCCAGCCTTGATATTATTGTAAAGACGGACAGGAGTTATTTGCCTACCAACCACACTTTGAAAGCCTAACTCAGTGAAGCTGCATTTTGAACAGTTTAGTAAAACTGATAAATCTCTATGACACCGCTATTTAGGAAGAGGGCGCGTGAAGGGCAGGATCTTTTCCCGCGTCTAAGAACTCCTTCATCTGTTTATGTACATTAAGACTAGTTACTTTCTCAGTTAACAATTTCATTGTTTCGTTTTTTTATTACTGCTTTCATTTGCTGCCTGCTAGCAAATACTGTCTTTCTTCGAAGCTGCCTAGAGTGAACAAAACAACGATAGTATTGTAAAAAGCTTAGAGCAGCACTCAGCCAAGATGAAATGCATGATTATTATTCAATATACATGTGCTATGGCGCTGTTGGGAACAAAATCTAAATGGACTCCTTTTGACGACCTCAGTCATCATACCCACCCCAAAGTCGAACAGCAACCACAATCATAGTGGCAGCAGCAAGACTCAGTACCATCAACGTTACCTCTGCCACAACGATGACAACCACCACCGCTACAATGACAAGAATGAAAACAACAACTACAACAGCACTGTGGCATAAACCACTTCCTGCTGGGTTATTTTTGAACTGCTCCTATTCGATATCTTATTCCCCTTTTTTTCTTTTATTTTTTTCGTTGGAACACGTATAACTGTGACTTTTAGCTGAACAATTGCTCTCCATACACCCTCAAAGTTTCACTTGCTGCTTCTGCCTTGGTTTTAGCTGTTTCGACAAAAAATTTTAAGCTCAGTGGAGCAGTTTCAAAGAGTCGTATAATAGTACATCGCCACACGCGCTTCATTATTCATTGCTTCCGTGTAGCAGTCGAACAAAAAAATCTACAAGGATTTTGTTTTGCTTATTGTGAATCAATAAAGTTTAAGGAACCAGAATTATTAACGTCTGATTGTGGTTTCAATGCGTTTTTTGCATAAAGGTTTTTTTCGTCAATAAATTTGTTATCACCTTATAGTTTTATTCAGTTGAAGAGGCCGGAAAAGAAGATGTTAATGATGACGATGAAACATTAAAGATGTACCCGAGAAGTTTAAAGCAATGTAGAAACTTGGAGCAACACGTCAAATACAAAAGCACCAGGCAAAGCAGTGATCCTTAGTTTTATATATTAATTGGTTGTCGTCGAATGGTGCTTAGATATTTCATAATTAGTTGCATAATTTCGACAGCTTCCGGACAATGGGTTTCTGTTGCAGGTAATTTCTTGGTTCTTTGATCAAACATCAGATTTTGGTAGTGTACTAATAATTATTTAATTTGTTATAGATATTTGTCATATTACGCGTAGGAAGATGTAAAAATTGTTTCTAAGCTAGGGATTAGACTTCCTGATCTGCTAAAAGGTTTACTTCAACGTTCACTCTTAACAGATGAAATTTCAAGCCTTAGTATTGCTAGAATGATCTTTGGTTCAAGCATCCTCTGAACAATACAAAAGAAATATGAGCAGGAAAACATTTTGGATTAAGGAGTGAAAAAACTTTTTCTACGCAAATCCCACAGCTATTTCTGTTTAATGGAAGACTGTCAGTGAGGTGAAATGCTGGATAGAACTTTTTAACATCGTTTAACATCAACATCTTTTGTTTTCCTATTTATGATTAAATTTTATATTAGGATCGTATCAGAATGAGGCATACGTATTGTTAGCTTGTAAACAGAGTTTCTAAACAATGTTTTTTCAAAATGAGCCTTGTCCCATTAATAATGTGGGACTCAAAAACATTCTTAAAATTTTTGTGGTTACTAGCTGAAAACAGTCATTTTACTAAAATCTTTATGCCGTATGCGTTCAGCATTCAAATCACGGTTACCCGGCTTATGCCGAAAAGGCTTCTTCGATTGCGGATTCGGTATCTGCATTCCACAGAGTAAAATTCACGACGGTGTACCAGACTGCCTTGATTTAAGTGACGAATGTAAGGAAATAATTATGTATTACTTTGATTCATTTGTTTTATGCATTTTAATGCTTTATATTTGTTTCTTTTTCCAGCAAGAGAAGGCGAAACAACAACTGGTAAACACCAATCAATTGCTTTTGGTTCTTATTTCTTGACTATAAATAGCTTGCGTAAAATTTGCTTATTTTCCAACAGTCTTAGCAGTAGTTAACTGTTCTTAAATTTCATCGTAACGAAAATTATTGTAACGTATTATTAATAATATTTTTTTTATATTTTCGCGTGACTTAAAAATTGTAGATAACAATCTTTTCCTTAGCAATAACAAAAAAAATTGTGTTTTGAACGTTTTGAGTGCAGAAGCTTATCTTAAATCCCTCAACCGCAACCGCAAAAGTTATGAAATTTTTTTATGCAAAAAAATCCAAAGGTTTTTGGACTGGATCCAGGGGTTCTTTTAAATGCGGTTGGAATAGATTTGTGGAAAAAGGATATTGTAAATATGAGCACATCTAAAAACAGACCAAAATATTTGTGTACATGAAGGTTGTAGGCACACATAACAAATAGTGTAGGTGGTAGCACATCTTTGAAGAAATGAAATTTTTTTTTGATTTTTCAGTGGTACTACTTTGAGGAATTTTAATCAGAGCACTAAAACTTTTGGCTTTTAAAATCAACCGCAAGTTAGTGATGCGCAGCTCTGCTTGCACTTCTTCTGACAATAAGCACTACTTTTTCATTTAAAAACTCACAATTACAGTTTCATTTATAAAAAACAAGTACGCTGTTTAGAAAGTAACACATGAGCAACCCTTACCGGCAAAACAGCGTAAAAACTGCTGTTCATAATTCTTGTGTATAGACCGTGCAGTTTGCTCGCAATTCTAAACCAAAGTAATATTTTGTACCGAAGTGACAACGATTATCAAAGTTTATTTAAAATGCTTATTTTTTAGCAACTAAGTGCTGTTATAGTGAGTATTTAGAATTGCGCTTCATGTTTGTTGTCAGCTTAGGCGCATTCTTATTTCCAAACAAACTGTGCGACCTGCAATAATAAGAAGCAACGTTAGATTTTTTTTCTTGATTGAAGCTTTTTTTTTATCGTGTTAGGTACTGCTGGTTAGATAGCTAACCTATGTGCTGTCTTGGGATATCTATATTACTGAAAGATCGAGATGCAATTTCTAGCTCGAACTACCACCTAGTTATCCCAACTTAAAATTTTGCTGGATACCTAGTATAAGTTTTGAAACTTTTTATTTGCGACCTGATTCTTTTTTTGAATATTTTAATTTTCGTTAGACAACCTAAAAAGGCAATATTTAATAACGTGTTTTTAGTCTTCTGCAATTTTATAGAAAAGTTTCAGCGCACATTTAACGTGTTCTAAATTCCTTTCTGAACCGACAGATACACTATCATAACGCGTTTGGTCAGTGCATATCTTGATGCACGTGTTCTGCATTAATAAATTGCTGAGTGGCGCAGCTTGGGACACCTATAACATTTAGGGAGGTCGTTGCCTTATCGAATAAAACGAGCGTGTTAAGGTTACTTTTTTTAACGGAAAATAGACAAAGACTTTTTCCAACTTGCCAAGTATCTTAACGTATTAATTTTACCAAGTTTTTAAAACAGAGCGCTCTGCAGGCTAATACAAGAAAAAATGAGGTAAAACAAGCTCCAGAAATTTCTTAGAAAAATTTACAGCATTCACTTTCTTAATTCACAGGTAATATAAAAATAGGGCAGTCTCAAAAAAGAAACTCAATACTTTAAAAAAGCCGTAATTGAGAGACCTTGAGAATTACGATAGGTAGGCATTAGGAAAGCCATAGATTGCAACTACAAGTCGCAACTTGTAGTTCTAGCTAAAAAAGTTACATGACAAGAATAAGTAAGATAGCACGTACCTTAAGCCATCTAACAGATATCATCTTACTTGGAAGTTAACATAGTGAGTTGAAGAGAAGATTTCCAAAAAAGAAGAGCTTTTTGTATGTTCTACTGAGTAAAATTATGCCTGTTTACAGATGAAATTATGACTCTGAACAAGAAACGTCTGTACTCATTTGCAAGCACAAAGAGCAGGCATGAAAAACAAATTAGTTGTAATATGTAAGAAAAGAAAAAATAAAGATTTTTAAGAAGAAGTTTAATGTCTTTGAAATTAGTCTTGTGAAAAAACATAGGGGGCGATATAATGAAGTGTTCAAATTTTGCTACTATTCTTAAAGGAGTAATGCATTTGAAAACAATTATCCATACATATAGTTTTGAAATAATACGTTCTAAAATTTCAAAAGAAAGCTTTGTTTACAGTTGTTATGTTTTCTGCGCCAAACAGGAGCTTTTTCACTTTTTAAAATTTGAAAATTTCCTTTGTAAAGAAAATTTCTGCTGCAAAAAAATTTTGTTACCATGATCAAAATATGTAAATATAGTACATTACGTTACGTTTATTTTCATTCTCTGTTTGTAGTCTGTTTCCCTGGTCATTATCACTGCGGTAAATACTGTGTCGATTTAGCATATGCTCCACAGTGTCTTGTCAATCCTCGTAAGAATTTCTTTCAAGTTTATCTGAAAAAAAAATCCTCAAGTTCATTAAATTACTACTGTTTCTTTTACTTCGTTGTAAAGCCACTTTCTTCATTTTAAATCAAGGTTCATAATGCGTCACAGTTAGAATTTAAGCATTAAAATTTTGTGATGCTTATTCTTTCTTTGTATCTTTTTTTCAGGATGTGATGGTTCATCCACAGCACCGCGCTTTTGCCCACTCATAAGTTCGTCTTACCGATTTTTGAGTTTTAGAAGTTGATTTTATTCAATGTTGTTTCTGTTTCTGGTTTTTTCGTGCTTTAATTAATTTTTAAAATCTCCTAATTATTTAGAAGAGAAACTGTGTACTGTTAATGGTTCAATACCATGTAAAGGTTATGGCGAGTGTATATTTCTTAAATGGGTCGACCAAGGAAAAGTATCCTGTTTGGACAGAAGTGACTCAGGTTTCATTTTTTTTTTTTTTTTTTTTTTTTT